GCAAGTGACCGACCAGGCCGATGCGTGAAGTGGAGGTGCGATCGCAGTGAGGGCAGATGTAGGCCTGGCCCTCACGTCTGATGATGGAGGTTGCAGGGGTTGTGCCTGTTGTTGTGTCAGGTTCGGCTGTGGTGAAGTCGTGGGCGACAGACGCCGAAGCGGCCGTCGTTGTGGCAGTGATGAAGGAAGAGGAGGAGGAAGGGGAGGAGTGGGAGGTGGTAAGGTCGGTGGCGTCGATGTCGGTTGGGGAGTGGTTAGAGGGTGCACAAGGTGGTGGATTGGGAGTGGGGCTCGGCGGGGTGGATGTGTCAAGGCTACTGTCAATTCCGCTCTCGTGGATGCGCATGTGGCCGAATAGACCCATGCGATGCCTGAAGGTGCGAGGGCAGTGTGGGCAGTGCAGGCGAGTGCGGCGGGTGTAGGTTGGTGCTCCAGGCACTGGTTCGCCAGTCTCTGTGCGATGGATTCGCAAGTGACCGAACAGGCCGATGTGTGAGGTGAAGGTGCGGTCACAGTGAGGGCAGGTGTAGTCCTGATCCTCATCACTGGAATCGGGAGAGGTGGGAGAGGTGATGTCGGTTGTTGTGTTGGTGTTGGTGATGTGTGAGACAGCAGTCTGAACGGCCGCCGCTGGGGCAGTGGAGAGGGAGGAGGACGACGAGGACGAGGGGGATGGAACTGGTGGTGCAGAAGGACTGTCAGAGTTAGTTGGCGGAAGGGAGGAGGAAGAGGCGGGCGGGGGAACGATGGCTGGAGCAGTTCCAGAGGTGCAGTTGGTTCGGAGATGTCCAACAAGTCCGATTCGTGCCCGGAATGTCCGCTGACATCGAGGACACGTTGGGAGCGGTTGTTCGGCGGCGTTGCGGACTGGGCGAAGTTGTGATTTGCGGGCTTCGCGTTTCGCTTTGGCGGCGGCGATTCGGTTGGCTTCATAGATAGCAGCGCCCGTCTTCACTGTTCTCCTCCATGTCGGACGATCGCGAGCGAGCTCTTCCCAGTTGGTCGGGTTGATTTGCAGGCGCTTCAGGGAGGACTTCAGAGTATCCTTGTAACGGCGAATTTGGCCTCCTTGACGACGAGAACCCGTCGCGACGTCTCCGTAGAAGAGTCGTTTGGGTAGTCGCTCGTCGTCCATGCGCACCAAGTGGCCGCTCCAACGCAGCTGCATTTGCCTCAGTATGGCGTAGATGCTGAGGATTCCCGTTCGTTCCAGTACTTCCGTGTCGGGGATTCGATCCTGCCAGTTTAGCCTCAGGATGCGACGGAGACAACTGAGGTGGAAGTGGTTCAGTCGGCGTGCCTGTCTCGTGTACACTGTCCATGTCTCTGCTCCGTAAAGTAACGTCGGCAGGATGACGGCCTTGTACATCTTCAGCTTTGTGCTCAGTTGGAGACCGTGGCGTTTCCAAACTGTGTTTCGGAGACGACCGAAAGCTTGACTGGCTTTTGAGATCCTGCTGGCGACTTCGTCATCAATCTTGGTGTTGTGGGAGAGGGTACTGCCCAGATACGGGAAGTTCTCTACCACTTGCAGTTGAGTCCCATTCACGTTGATTTGCGGCGGAGCGTTGGGGGCTGTGGCTGAGTTGGGCGGCGGTTGGTGCATCACCACCGTCTTCTGCGTGTTAATGACCAGCCCGAAGTTCTCGCAGGCGGCGGAGAATAGGTCCATGCTTCGTTGCATCTCCACTTCTGAGGTGGTGTTCAGGGCGCAGTCGTCGGCGAAGAGGAGTTCGTGCACGGTAGTTGTGGATACGCGCGATTGGAAGTTCATGCGCCGTTGATTCAGGAGATGACCGTCCGTTCTGTAGGCGATGCGGATCCCGGGGCGTTCGTCGCGGTAGGCGTCCATCAGCATGGCAGAGAACATAAGACTGAAGAGGGTTGGTGCCAGCACGCATCCCTGCTTCACTCCGTTGGTCACTGCGAATTCCTCTGAGACAGCTCCAATGTCCGTGACTCGCGCCATCATACCGTCGTGCAGCTGACGCACCATCTGAGTGAATCGCTCCGGACAGCCGAATTTCTGCATGATCTTTCACAGTCCTTCACGATTCACCGTGTCGAAGGCTTTCGTCAGGTCCACGAAGGTAGAGTACAGGTGGGTCCGCATCTCCTGGCACTTCTCCTGAAGTTGGCGGGCGGCGAAGATCATATCCGTGGTCCCACGATGACGACGGAAGCCGCATTGGCTTTCCGGCAGAAGGCCCTGTTCCAGATGGTTATTGAGGCGGTTGAGCAGGATGCGAGCGAAGATCTTCCCGGCGATGTTCAGTAGGGAGATGCCGCGGTGGTTGTCGCAGACTTGGCGATTCCCTTTGCGCTTGTATAGGTGCACGATTGTTGCGTCCTTGAAATCTTGCGGGACTTCACCTTGACGCCACATCTCCTGGAAGAGCGCAGTCAGGTGATCCATGAGTTGGGGACCTCCGTGCTTGTAGACCTCAGCAGGGATTGCGTCCGATCCGGGTGCTTTCCCGCTGGAGAGCTGCTGCACGGCCCTGATCTTTTCCTGAAGAGATGGCGGGAGATCGAGGTCCACGTTGGTCGCCACTTGCGGCAAGCGGGCGATGGCTGCGTCGGAGATGACGGAGGGGCGGTTGAGGACGCCCTGGAAATGCTCGGCCCATCGCTGTAGGATTTGCGTCTTCTCAGTCAGGATAGTGTTACCGTCGGCGCTGAGGAGCGGAGCAGTGCCCTTCGTCGGCGGACCGTAGACAGCCTTGATTGCGGAGAAGAAGTTCTTCCATTCGTTGCGGTCCGCGTAGCCTTGGATCTCCTCAGCTTTGCGAGCAGTCCAGGCGTCCTGCATCTCGCGCAGTCGTTGCTGGAGCTGTCGGCGACTACGGTAGAAGGCAGCTTTGTTATCCTCCGTGGGGTGATCTACGTAGGCTTTGTGTAGGCGGTTCAAGCAGATTGCTGATGGCAGCGTCTTTGTCGTCGAACCAGTCCTGGTGTTGGCGGGGAGCGCGACCGAGGACGGCGAGCGCCGTCGCCTGGACCGTGTCTCGCAGTTGACACCAGCGGTTCTCCACGGAGGCGTTCTCAGCGGCGGCGGCGGCGTCGTCGTCGGCGGCGTCGTCGGCGGCGGCAACGATAGGAAGGTTGTCTAGCCGTTGAGCTAGCTGACTGCTGAAATGGAGACGGTGAGCAGGCAAAGACAACAAAGCAACATTCAGCTTACCTGGGGGTCGCTTACCTTGTGGTCTCCTGCGAGGCTGTGGGCGAATACGCATCTTCGAGATGACGAGGCGATGGTCGGTCCACCCGTCAGCACCCGCGATCGCCTTCCTCACCAGCACGTCCCCCTGATCTCGCCTCCGGACGAGGACATAGTCCAGCAGGTGCCACTGACGCGACCGAGGATGCCTCCAGGTGGCCTTCTCTCACTCCGGCAGACTGAAGAACGTGTTCGTCAGGATAAGGCGGTGTTCTGCGCAGGCGCGAATGAGTAGCAGACCATTGTCATTGGAGCCGCGGAGACCGTGGGGGCCCAGCACTCCCCTCCAGGCAGTGTGGTCTGTGCCGACGCGGGCGTTGAAGTCGCCAAGGACAATCAACTTGTCCGCCTTCGACACAGTCGCCAAGAGGGCATGCAGGTCCTCGTAGAATTTGTCTTTGACGACGTCGGGGCTGGTCATCGGCGGAGCGTAGGCGCTGATGATGGTGGCGAACTTGCCTCCTCGCCGGAGGGGCAGACGGAGGCTCATTAGGCGGTCGTTGATTCCCTGCGGCAAACAGGGCAGTCGTCCCACGATGTCGTTCCGGATGGCAAAGGCGACACCCGCGTCTCGTCGCTCTGCCCTGGGTCGACCACTCCAGAAGAAGGTGTAGCCGGCACCCACCTCCTCCAGTTGGCCTTGTTCGGAGAAACGGGTCTCGCTGAGTGCGGCGATGTCCACCTTGTAGCGCGCCAGTTCTCGTGCCACTAGCGCCGTCCTCCGTTCCGGTCGGTTGCTCCTCGGATTGTCTAAAAGGGAACGAACATTCCAGGCTGCCAGAGTGAGCGGGCTCACCCTGCCAGTCTGGCGACTGCGGCGGCGAAAAGTAGGAGTAGGAGAAGAAGAAGAAGAAGAATAGGCTGGAAGAGGAAGAGAGCGATTGTGGTTGTTGTTGTTTCGGTTTTGGCTGTTTCGACCGTGTGTTTTTTGTCTGCGGCCACGGCCAGCCTACAGACAGCGTGGTTCCCAGCGATCTTTAGGGCACCTTTTCTAGCCCCCTCCCCCCCCCCGCGGGGCAGGCAACGCATCCCTGAACAGGGCTGCCCTGTTATCCCAGACGGCTGCCGGACTCCACTATGGGCCACGACTTTTTGTTAGTGAGAGAACGACCCGAATTAGCCTGGGACCTTGGTGGTGAGGTGATGATGTGATGGAGTGAAGTAGGAGAGAGCATACACACTACCTAACGCTAGGGGACTTAGAACTAGAGTGGACAAGCGGACACAGTCACCAGTCAGAGACAAAGTGAGGGCACCACACAAAGTCAGGCACGGTACACCTAGCTATTAGTAGAGAGTGGCATAGACGGACGGACAGACAATCGCAGCAGGCATCGTGGGTGTCGTTTAGCTATTAACAGACAGACTAGCATATAAAGGGCAGGCAGCAAGCGCAGCGTACGACGCGGAACTTCAACAAACAAAAGGAAGAAACAAAGCAAACGCACTTACCTGGGGGGAAACTTACCTGGTGGCCGCCTACGATGGTCCGGGCAGAGCATCGTCTCGACGATGTCGACGCGAAGATCCATCCGGCCAGCGCAGACCACAGTACCGCGCGTGCAGGTGCACGCACGGATACCCTCACCTGGTTTAGCCCGCCGGTCGAGACGGTTGCCCGGGGTGTGGCCGCTGAGCAGAGCCCAGCTACGTGGAGCCACAGGTGAGAGTTAGGTGCCAGCAAATGGACGCTAGGCGTAGTCTCACCTGCAAGCAAGTGAGCGACCACTACGAACATCACGTGGACCCACCGCTGACACCCCTACACCCCACACACACACACACACACACACACACACACACACACACACACACACACACACACACACACACACACACACGACAGTTCAACCGCCGTTGTCGACGCCTTTCGCCGTCCGCTCCACGGAAGGGTGGAGCAGGGACGGTGACTAGTGCGTGAATTATTTTATAGTGGTAGCAAACTTGTAAAGCATCTACCGCATTTTCCCCTCCCCCACCTGGGCCCGGTGTCAAGAGAGAATCAAGAACACCGGAAGCGGGGGAGGGCGCAGGCGGATGGCACAGCCAAGCTCACACCTTTGGCGCTCTACTCCGCATCCCCTGGTGCGCACAGCAAATGACCAGGATTTTAACTAACAACAACAATGGGAGATGTGGCAGGGGTCCCAGTGCGAGCGATGACTGCCGGCGGCTACGCCTACTACCGCGTCCCAAAATGTTGACACTTGTTGTGGAGTGCATTCCAATAACACCTGCCAGTATCCGATATGGCCCCGTTTTGTTCCACCGCATCTACTGTGTGTCACGTTTGAGGGGCACACACAGACACTGTCACCACTCTGTTACCGAACTTTCACCTCATATATCAGCCTGGTCGTTCACATGCGAATATATCACACAGAGACTGGCGAACCCGTGTCTGGAGCAAAGACGAATATTTCGTTTAATGAGAGGAATATAATTTTCCGGAAACACAGAAAATGTCCTTACTGACTTTGTTTCATGCAGTGACTGAAGGGACTACTTCACTTTTCCTAGTCACATACCTTCCGCTGTTTGCTATGCACTTTCGATAATACGGTATGAACTTACGAGTGGTCCACACAAATCCCAGTTACAACGAAACGTACCAGCTATAATACCGTAATTTCTGGACTCAGCAGTGACTTCATCTGTCCTGGCAGTAGGACCTTTAGATGCCCTTCTTCCTTCGTGCTTGCGACACCGCGTACAGTCGACTCACGGTGCTAACGGAAGTTAGGGACCACAGCTACCCTCGAACAGGTGAAACTCGCAAATACATGATATCCCTTTAAAACATTTATAACTGCCGTCTTAGTGTTCAAACACCAAAAATACCTTAAACTGCCATTCAAAGGCATTTTACTATTGTTTGCACTGTCAAAATTACCATTTGTAAGTATTTAAGTCATTTTTGACATAAAAATATATTGAGATACGAATATAAATGAAGATAATTGGCCAATATTTTCGATATGGTGTGCGAAGAGAAGAAATCTACGAATACGTAGTCGCAAATAGAGGGAGGTCAACTGTGCTAGAATCAGCAGCACCCGTATCTGTAGAGCTGCACTGTTCCCGCATTCTACATCCCAGGAATAATCCCAGCGTCTGTAATTTAGAAGGCCGTTTTTTGCTATAGCCGACTGAAACTGTTATTCGTCGACCATTTTCAGTTAGCCGGAGTTAGCGCAAAACTGTCACTCACTTATCTCCTCATAAAACCTACCAGGTTTGTCTAGCTTGTGTGAACGTTTTGGAAATTGGCTGTCCCGTGTGCAGTCACTTTAGGTCTGAGTAAAGCCCTCACTAACTCGCCCCGTATCATTGGCTCCCCTGACCCCTCACCTTATCATCGAACTCTGGCTATGGGCCTGACTGTTAGTGATAGACTGATACCAGCTCTGAAAATGCTCCCCGACACACACGACCTAAGCATAAAGCGGTTATTTTCCTTATCCGTCATCAGCATTTGCTACTGAAATAAGTGTCGTCCGTCTGTATTAACGTTTTGGATGCCCATTTAAAACAGGCAACTTTCCTGCCTGAAAGCCGTTTTTCACAGGAACGATAAGACGTTAGGCCCCCGCACTTTCTTTCAGGGACTGGAAGGTAGTATCAACAGATTATCTCCAGCACTCTATTTAGAAGAGGGCGACTGCAAAGCATTCGTCAGCGAGCGCTCTCTCATCCTATCCTAGGATACAACTTAACTTTTAAACTGGTAGGACGAATTAAGGGGGGTGCGATTTAAACGATGATTTAGTCACCAGGAGCATCGATCTGCTTGCCGTTTGCTTTATGTCGCGAGTACAAACTGATGATTAGCCTGAAGGTCACTTTCTGAGGAAATTAGTTTGCATTTTAGCTGAATCACATCTTGTGCACACAAATGTATGTATGCATATTATAGTAGAAGAGAGTTCATCGACCGTGCTTTGAGATATTACCGTCCCGTTGCGCCTCGCGCCCTTCTAGTTATTCTTATGGCTGCCAGACATATACGCAGTAAAGGGTGTCGACAAAGACAAGGGAGCCTGGGACGCAGATTTCCGGCTTGTAAGTGATCGCTAGCCAGCCCCACCCAACCTGGGGTTTGGACGAATTGGGCTTTAAATCCGGATCCTCTCATCGGTGAGCGTGAAGCCCAACGATCTGTCACTAAGCCAGTGGAATGTGTGTTTATGCTCCTCTCACGTGCATTTAAGTTGTTTGTGCTTGTGTTTTTATCCGTTACTTGTTTAATAGCGCGCACTCATTAATATATGAGAATTTAAAACGCTGCTGTCGGCTCTGTCATTCGTGAATATGAAAAGAGTCTTTTGAATGCCAAATCATAGTGCGGGTTCATGGTATTGTGTACTGAGATCGATGAAATTCCTAGGCGTTCGGTTCTCGAGGCGTACTGATTATTTTTACGGCCCTATTTAGGAACCATAACGAGCAGTCATACATCGGCTCCTAGCATCTACAAATTACCAAAGCAACTCAGCAGGCGGCCCCAGTTTCTTCTCTGAGTTGACGTTTTTGGGCACGAGATTTGCAGCTTTCGGACCGAAAGAACATTTTCTGTGAAATAATTGCTGTTTTAGATGGAAGTTGCTGATATGTTGGCCTTTCTCAGTAATTGGTAAACGGGACAAAGGAAGATAAGATTTTGAACTGCCCATCGGCGCATTCATTCTTTCGCATATCTTTCATAATTCTGTCATCTTATTGGATTATGACTACCGCATTCATACGTATACTGAACTCCATTGGTGTAAAGACCTCAAGGTACACTGATGACTCCTAATTCAACATTATTTTCTTTTGGAAAATTTATGGAATTCTGTTAACAAGCAAGTAAATACGTTTCAAATCTTGGAAAAATAAATCGGACATTTTCGGATGGAAACTGCAACGTTCATTGCTGTATCATCAAATGTCCCACTATAAGTCAAAAATGTTTACTCTCCTTATTTTGTTGTCCCCAGCTTAGCTTAACATGCGCCATTGAGTCACACTGCACGCAGTTAACACGTTTTACAGGAACCATTGGGAAGGCACTACATTATTAGCCAATGAGATCGCAACATTTTCATATGCAGAAGTGACTCAGTTTAATAACCAAGGAAGGCAAAATACAGAATTCAGTCCTTCCGTGGTATAAGTGGTGACTTACACGACTAGGGAGAAAATGCGTTATGGAACGAAATCCCCCAATTCTCTCAAGCGCTCTTTCCCTCCAGCAGGCATTCCACCAAAAGATACATATGCCGAAAACGGTCACCCGGAAAGCAGGAATCCTCCGACAATCAGTCCACTTAAGATAATTGTCCTACGATGCTTATACTTTTCCGTTTTCTACTCTGTTCTTCTTGGCTTCAGTCTAGGGTACTTGACCCTTTTCATGCACTTTCAAATTAAACGAGATTACCCCACGTTGACAGGCCTATCGAGCTCTCTGGAGTTGAATCCTGGCCTTAGTACTCTTCCCCTGATCGACATCTATACCAGCCTCATAAGTTTTGTCGCAAATCAACCTCAGTCCATAGACGCAGTCACCTCGCAACTACGAGCCTTTCTACTATCATACCAGTTGCCCAGTAAGGCCCTCGAACTCTCAGACTGCTCCAAGGCTTCACACGCTCTGGATATCAACAGACCCTGTTACTTTGACCTAAACAGACTTGGCCCATGCAATATCTGGAATGCTTATGGCTTCGAGGATGACAATCCATGCATCCTATTGAAGATTAATCGGATATATGGTTGGGTGCCGGATCCTGTTCCATTCGCGGACGGTGTGCTGGTCATTTGTGAGGGAGCTAGCAAGGACGATACGCACAATCTCGGCGAAATTCGTTACTTCGATTTTGACTTCTACCAAACCACCAGCCTTTCAGCCAACAAGACGGAGGGTAAATCATCAAATGGTACCTTTCCATCGGCTTTCTTCCCATACCTAAATCAGCCACAGTATCAACAACCAATTGTCTTCGTCGTTTTTTATAATATGAAACCTAACACGCTAGTGAGAGTGCAGTGTTATCTGATAGCCAAAAACATTCGAGTGGATATTGCTCGTGGGGAAGGATCAGTTAAATTTGAAATAATGTCCCGTTGACAAAAAATTTATGCATTTTGGCGTGTTTTTATTTTAAAAGTGTACAAATCGCAGAGAGCTTTTCATCACCTGGTGCTTTAAAATATACTTACAAACTACCGATTCGTCCTCCTGTTGAAAAGTACCCATAACAAAAATTATGGTCATAAGAATAAACAATTCATGTATGAGAATATCCTACGATCAGTGGTTTGAATAATTTCTTCAGAGGTTCCGGTGGTTTTTTTTAACACGGGAGAGGTAAAACCGAGGAGACTTTGGGCGCGAAAGTCCGCTTTCTGCACAAATTAGGCGTCGTTCTGTTGATTCGACATGCACATACATATAATCCTTTGTAAATCGGCGAAAGACAGTCGTGATCTATCCACACTCGGCAAAGACGCTTCCCAAACGTGCTCCAGTTTACTAGAATGGTTGTGA